ATGGTGATTGGCTAGGCCTAATAAAACCCTTCTCCAACAAGTCCCTCAATTGTTCCTTCAACTCCTTTAACTTCGCCGGGGCCATACGGTAAGAGGGAATAGAAATGGGTTGAGTATCGGGGAGGAGGTCTATGCCAAAATCTATTTCCCTTTCGGGAGGAACACCGGAAGGTCATTAGGAAAGACATCAAGGAATTCATTTACGATCGGAATCGACTCTATAGGAAGGGTTTTGGACTCCACATCCTTAACCCTCACAAGGTGATAGAGACACCCCTTAGAGATCAACTTACGGGCTTTAATGCAAGAGATGAACCTACCCTTGACTACCACATTTTGGCTTTCCCATTCAAGAATGGGTTCACTAGGGAATTGGAATTTGACCCTACGGGTTCTACAATCAATGGAAGCATAGTATGCATGCAACCAATCCATCGCAAGAACAACATCAAAATCGACCATGTCCAACTCAATAAGATCACAAGGCAATATTTTATGCAAGATGCAAATGGGACAATTCCTATAGACCTTCCTAGCAACAATATATGCACCAATAGGAGTAGACACCTTATATGACTCACGCAACAATTCGGGCTCAACATGAAACTTTTTGGCAACAAAGGGGGTGACAAAAGAAAGAGAGGCACCCGGATCAATTAATGCATATACATCAAAGTCAAAGATTTTCAACATACCGGTAACGACATCGGGGACTTCATCGACCCCTTGCCTCCCATGCAAAACATAAAATCGATTGTGCCTTGGGGCACCATCTTGTCGGCCCCCTCTCCCCAAAGGAACCGCATTGGCACCTTGTGGAGGGACCTCCTTACCCTTGTTGCGATTTCGAGGACAATCCATTGCCTTGTGCCCCATTTCCCCACAATTGTAGCAAGCACCGGTATTTCTCAAGCACGGGCCACCATGGCCCTTACCAAACTTCAGACATACATCAATAGGACCCATACCACCAACACCTTGGGCCCTTGGAACATCATTGGAAAACCCCTTATGGGGCGCATGAGAAGACCCTTGGCCTTGATGAAACCGGCCTCCCCTTCGACTTTGGAACTTGCCCTCAAAACGGGCCCTCTTGGCCTCATGACCCCTCCTCTTCCTCAACTTCTCCTCCTCCATTTGTTCGGCATAGACCATCAAGCGGGACAAGTCCATGTCACTAATCAACATTGCGGACCGGCATTCTTCACTCACTAGGTCGGACACACCCATCACGAATTTGTTCATTCTAGATCGTGAGTCGGCAACCAAGTGTGGAGCATATCTTGAAAGTTGGTTAAACTTGAGGGCATACTCCCTCACACTCATAGACCCTTGTTTTAAATTCATGAACTCCACCAATTTGGCTTCCCTAAGTTCAAGAGGAAAGAATCGATTAAGGAAAGCCGTTTTGAACTCTTCCCAAGGCACCACATAATTTGCCCCCTTCTCTTCCTTCCATTGGTTGTACCATATTTGGGCCACCCCTTTTAGTTGGTAGGCCGCCAACTCCGCCTTATCTTCTGACCTCATGCCCATGATAGCTAATATCTTGTGCACTTCATCAATGAACTCTTGAGGGTCTTCATCTAACTTAGACCCATAGAATTCTGGGGGAATCATCCGCACGAAGTCTCTCACCCGAGATGCCGGGGTAGGAACCTGAGGGGCTTGGGCCCCGTGGTTGGCTTGATTAGCCATAGCTTGAGCAAATAAAGTAAGGGCATCCCGAAGATCCCCATTGGTCGGTGGCTCCTCGGGTGCGCGGGCTCGTCTTCCTCTTGTATTAGGCATGATCTAGCATAGCAAAGAACAACCGTTAGGGAAGAACTTAATTCAACTATATAGCACGACTTAGAACAAGGAGAAGGGAAACATTTCCTAAAACGTCTCATAACCTCCTACTCATAGTTATGGTGCACAACACAACCATGAATCGGACTCTAATCAACGCGGTGTGTTGGACTCCGAGGATCTATCAACCTAGTGCTCTGATACCAAGTTTGTCACGACCCAAGCCTAGGGCCTAGACGTGACCGGCTAATGGGGAACCCGAAGGAACCCCAAACAAGCCTCATAGCGTATCATTACACATCCTTGGTCGCGGAAGCAATTAAAATGACCATAAGCGATAAGCATAATTGAGGGGGAAATCGAGACTAAGGGAGCAAGAAAAAGAAGAAGAAATGATACATAAATACCATAGATGAGTCAAGTTCAAGCATAATACACAACTTGTCCAACACCACCTCTAAACATGAGTACTTAGCGGGGGCCAAGACAAACTACCGGGCTCACCCTCATAGTCAATACATAACAAAAAAAAAGGAAAAGTCTTATACATAGCAAAAGATCATAAGCAACGTCCCCGGAATGGAGGACTTACCAATAACCTCAATAGAAAATCGTATTAGCCACGTGGAGGAGGATGGTCAAGCGGTGCTCCGGTCCCTACATGGTGACATCATGTAGGCATAGAGTATGCATTAGTACGTTTGAATGTACTAAGTATATGGGATGCAATGCAATGCTACAATAGATGGATATCATAAGAAAAATGCATAATCATACCCGATAGATAGCACATTAATGAAATGATATATATAATGACGCTTACATAAAAATCATATTTAGTGGGACGTAGTACATGTGTGGCGAGTGACCATCAATATAGTATTTCCAGACCTACCACCCCCTTAGAGAGGCGAAAGAGGTACAAACCCCTCAATGTGGTTACCCGGGCCTACCACCCCCCGAGCTAGGGACCAAGGTACAAACCCCTCGATATGGTTATACGGGCCTACTACCCTCCGTACTAGGCAACCAAGGTACCAACCCCTCGATACGGTTATACGGGCCTACTACCCCCCGTACTAGGCTTGGTCGACTCACAACACTATATAGAGAAATCATATACATGTATCCCTTTCATCATCATTTCAATAATTATATAATCATCCGACTCCTAGGATGTACATTGGACCTTCCATTTCCTAAGAATTCTATAAATGGCATTTTATCAAACACATGGTGGGCTATTGTTCATGTAGATAAAATTATGTCTTTCAAGAGTACTAAGTCCAACCAATTCCGAAATACATATAAATCAGCCCACCAACAACATACATATATATATCAACCTTCATAATTTGATCATGGAAGCATGAAAACCATAAACATCACATAATAATTCCATTTCATGATAATATGCAAAAATAGACCATAATAGAATGTGTAGTAGTAATTCCATAATTCAAGAGTTCATAAATGATCATAAGGACCCATAAACTTGAAGTAAAATAGAGGATAAATGGTTGGACTTGTGGAAAGGAAGGTTTCCACAATCAACCCACATACCTCAACTTTGGAGAATCCTTGATGAAGATTGGAATGGAGAATTGAAGCTTGAGATTGAGTCTTGAATCCAGAATTAGAGCTTGAGATCTTTGAATTTGGTTGAAGATCTTGGTGGAATTTTGGAGAGGGCTTAGAGAGTGTTTTTGAGTGTTTTGGAGCTAGAAAAATTTATAACTAAGTATGGGACGTCTCCAGCCGCTACAGTAACTTTGCTCACTGGAATTTGCAATTCTGCCGAGATAGGTTTTACGAAAATTGTCATAACTCCCTCATCCTAACTCGGAATGAGGTGAAACTAGGTGCATTGGAAAGATAACTCAAAGGGCTTTAATTTAATAGGTGGTGGCCCTTCCAGTTCGTTGTGTGCTAAGAGATATGCCCCTTTAAAGTTGACCCTGAAAATCGCATTTTTTGCGATTTTCAAATTTTGATACGATTGTTCTAAAATTCGGGTTAGACCCATTTCCTACTCAATTTGACCCCCTGAATAAGAATATGAAGTTGAATTTCTGAAATCATGCACGGATTTTGAGATATATGGAAATTACAATTATAGGTGTTTCTGAAGCACATTTTCGGGCATTTTGGGGTCGTTTCACAATGTTTGTTTCCCATAAACTATATGCCTTGATAGGTTATCTATCTAGTTGATCCATCTAAGCTACAATTTTCATGGTTCTACCTTAGGCAAGTAGGACAACCCTTTTCATTGTGGGTAACACCGGGTGATCATAATATAGGTCACATGGTTTCAAATTGGTTAAGTCTACCTCCCACAATAAGAACATGAATAATGAACTATGGTTATACAAAAATCTTTGTATATGAGCTCAGAGGTTTTAAACATGATGTTGAATTATATTATCCATGATTATGCTTAATGACTTCTAATCCCTTATATGATGTTTAAACTTGGAAAATTGCATGCTTTGAAATGAAATGTCCCTTTTTGCATGTTTCAAGGATTTTTATGCATAGCTACCATACTTAGTGCATTTTTTTAGTAAAGCCTACTTTTGCCTACATTTTTCTCAAGTGTAGGCTCCGGCACTCGAGGTGATCATTCTTGTGGCTATAGGTTGGATTTGATTGTTTCCCCGAGCTTGGTGAGTTCTCATGTTTCGAGTACTGATTTTCATATGTTTAGTTTTTTCATGTTCAACCTTTTGGACATGTTGTATGGGCTAGGGCCTATTTCATTCACTATTGTAATAGATGGTTATGATGGGACAAAGATTCTAGACTTCCCCTTTCTTTTATGAAAATCTTTTTAGACTTGGAAATGTGTTTTACTCTTATTGTTTTATTTCTTATGTTATCAAAGCTAAGTGGCTTGTATGGAGTCCTTCGGGATTCTATATGCCTTGTCACATCTAGGGGGTACCCTGGGTTATGAAAAACTTGGTATTCAGAGAAGAAGGTTTGGAATGATTCTAGGATGATATCGCATAAGCCACGTCTAGTAGACTCTTGTTCATGAGTGTGAAGCGTGCCACATTTATGAATGAGAGGCTACAAGATGTTTAGGAAATTTCACTTCTCCAATACTCTTAAGTCGTGCCTTAGAGTTTAACTTTAAAAAGATCTCTCACCTAATCCTTGTCCTATGTCTTTATGATATGAATACTAGAAGGAATGCTAGAAGGATGGAGGGTGACAATGTGGAACAAGGAGCTCCTCCCCAAGCTCTGATTGACCCTTTGGCTGAGAATGTAACAATTGCGGAGTTTAGGTCAGCTTTCCAAATGTTAGTACAAGTTATGACGACACAGGCTAACAGAGAGGTGGTAGCTGCCATGAACCCAATTGTGGGTATGACCGCTTCAAGAGTGAGGGATTATGCAAGAATGAACCCTCCAGAATTTCATGGCTCCAAAGTGGAGGAGGATCTTCAAAGGTTTATCAACGAGGTCTATAAGATACTTCCTATTATGGGGATGACTCCGGAGTAGAAAGCAGAGTTAGCCACTTACTAATTGAAGGATATTGCACAAATATGGTATGATCAATAGATAGAGGCAAGGCCGGTGGGAGCGGGTCCTACAGAGTGGGAGATGTTTAAATCGATGTTTCTTTATAGGTTTTTCCCCTTGAATTGAGGGAAGCAAAGGTGCAAGAGTTTGTTAAACTTCTTCAAGAAAGTATGAGTGTTGAGGACTATGCTCTAAAGTTCAATCAACTCTCCAAGTATTCTCCAACTATGGTGGCAGACTCAAGGGCTAAGATGAGTAGGTTTATGTCGGGCATGTCTGACATGGTAGAAAAAGAATGTCTACTGCAATGATCCTCCATGATATGGATATCTCATGTCTTATAGTGTACGCCAAACATATTGAGGAATTAAAACTCAAGGAAAAGTCTAGAGAGGTAAAAGGGCTAGGACCGGTGATTAGAATTTCTCTAATGTAAGGTCCGATGGACAAGGTCGTCCTAAATTTTTACAATGGTTTTATGGTCAAGGTTCTTCAAATGCTTCTCCTAAGCTTAACAAGGATAGGGTGTCTAACCCTAAACCTCACGGAGGTGATGGAGGTGACTCTTCTATGGCTAGGTCTACATGTGTTAAATGTGGGAAGAAACATAATGGAAACTGCCTAGCCAGAACGGACAATTGCAATAGTTGTGGCAAGAGTAGACACAAGATGAGAGATTGGTCGATGTTCAAGGTTAAGGGGAGAGAGGGAAAGCAAGCCCCTCCTAGCGGTTCAAACTTCAATGCTCTGAAACAAAACCACGTTTATGCTCTTCAATCTCTAGGTGACCTAGAGAGATCCCCAGATGTAGTCACTAGTCTGTTAAAAGTTTTTCTTCATGATGTGTATGCTTTGTTAGATCCCGGTGCTACTTTATCATTCGTGACGCCATATGTGGCGATGAGATTTGATATTCCCTCAGAAGTGCTATTAGAATATTTTTCTGTCAATACCCCTGTTTATAACTCTGTGGTGGCTAAGAGAGTCTATAAAAGGTGACCCATTTTCTTATCCCATAAAGTTACTTTTGCGGACTTGGTAGAGCTAGACATGTTAGACTTTGATGTGATTCTTGGTATGGATTGGTTGCATGCATGTTATGCCTTTGTTGATTGTAGAACTCGACTAATCGATGAGTCCTTGATTTGGACTCATTTAGGGATTTGTTTGTATACATTTAGTCTCCTCAAACACTTAAATTGTGCCATAAACTAATGCTAAAGCCTTTATTTTTAGGTGTATGGATTGAAGAACAATGCAAGGACACTAACAGATAAAAAGGAACAAATCAAGTTGAACAAATGAAAAAGGGTGAGCCTGAGGATCGCCAAGAGCAATTGGTGTGTCGCCGAGTGGGTAATCTCACCACCTAAAGCTCTAGTGTGCCAAGCTCTGAAGAAAAAGACCAAGTCGATGACGAAAAAGAGTAGTTAGCGAATAGCCAAGCACTTCCACGATTCAAAGAGAGATCGCCCAAAGTTACAGAACTCGAGGATGTTGAATGCCAATGTGAAAAGTTGATGGAAGAGATCAATGGGCGGCTCACCAAGTGGTTCTGCGAGCCCAAATAACTTCGCCAAAAGGCCCTTTGTGGCTTATTTTTGGGGACTATAAATTAGATTTTGAATATTTTATTTGGAAGTTCTGAAGTTTTTAAATGCTAACTTAGACAAAATCAGTTCAGAACATTTTTCTCTGTAATTTCTCATAGTTTTGACAAATTGGAGAGAATAAATTTTTAGATTTTGGAATAGGGTTTCAAATATTCTACAAATTGAAGCATTGTGAAGACTAAATCACTCTTACCCAGTTGATGAATAATCGATTCGGTAATTGTTTGACCTTTTTATGATATTTTTCTAAAACCCTAATTCTTGGGGTGTGATCATGTAATTATGGGTTGAATTAGTTTATGGGTATTGTTAATTACTAGTTTAAATGCTAAATTGAAGTGAGTTTAATTATTAATTGAGGTTTAATATATGAATTGTAGTGGCAAACGTAGTTTTACTTTTGTGCTCTTGGCTTGCTCGAGAAAGAGGTTGCAGAACTAAGGTTATTGATTAATGATTTGTGGGCATTTGGTTGAGTTGGGCTTATCTTGAGAGAGTGAATCCTAAACCCAATCGTACACATCTAGCTCGATAGAGTGGATAAATTAAGGTGTGGGTTCTTCTTCATTGTCATGCTTGTCGATGTTCGAAAGAAATCACATGATTCAGGATAGTTGTTCAAGAGAAAGTTATCTCCCTTTTAGTCTAGTCTACTCACTAACATTTAGTTTTTTACTAGTAGTTTCAATTACTCATATATCGAAATTTGCATATAGTCAATCACATCCCGAGAATCTCTCTCCTTATTATTATTTCAAATTATTTGTAACTGTTGTGTAGTTGATAATTACAAACCAAAACCCCCCATTTTACATTGTCACCCCTTTAATTTGTTTCTTGTCTTTTTTGATAATTTCTTTTCCTATGACTTATTAGACCACGTTTTCACTTCCTAATTGAATTTGAACATGTACTGCTCCCTGTGGGATTCGACCCCAACTCATTTGTTGGGTTTATACTAATTTACGATTGTAGACAGTTTGAATTGGAAGAAGTGTGGTTGAAACGCTAAATCCAAATGGCGCAGCTGCGGGGGATTTGACCCCAACTAATTTGTTCGGTTTGATACTGGTGTTGTTTAAAATTCTTTTGGTGAAGTTGAATTTTGTTGTTTTTAGTCATAGGTTAAGCTACTTATTATTTTTGGTTTTGTGTTACTTGTGTTAAAACATAGGAGGAGATGAGCGTTAATAGAAGTAATGGTAGCCTAGTGGCCCACGAAGACGACATTGCAAATCTCAATGATAGCAATGACCCAAACCAAGTGGGTGGTGTTGGTGCCGTTCGTTTATCTCCAGCTGAAAGAAACACTATTTTCACTTCACCAACACCATGCTTCAGCTCCTTCAACTGAATGGTTTGTTTGGGGGCTAGCTCATGAGGATCCCCATGAGCATATCAGAAATTTTGTTGATATCTGTGGACCGTTCTCATTTAAGAACATATCTTAAGAATCGGTCCATATGATTTTATTCCCATTTTCTCTTATGGGCAAAGCAACCAAGTTGTTGACTGAGTTGCCAAGAGATTCCACTTCGTGGGATGAACTTACTACTGCATTCCAAGTGCGATTATTTCCCCCTTGAAAGATGATGACTCTTAGGGATAGCATCCAATGTTTCAAATGCTTGGAAAGTGAGACAATCCATGAGACTTGGCTAAGGTATAAGAAGATGGTGTTGCATTGCCCAACTCATAGACTTCCAAATACTGTACTACTACAATATTTCTATAGAAGCCATGATTCGGTGAACTAAGCAGTGGTTGATCAACTTTCTCCGGGTGGTTTAATGCAACAACCTCATGCAATAGCATCCCAACTCTTTGATTGCATGACCAAGATTAACCTGGTATAGTACACTCCCAAAGACCAAGTCTATCCTCTTACTTATTAAATGACAATGGCGCACATCGATAAATATCAAGAGAGAGACCAAAACATGGCAAAGATGATGACCCAACTAGACATCTTGGCCAAGAATGTAATGTGTGCTGGTACAAGGAGTGTTAATGTTATGGGTGTTAGTGGTGTAAACTCTAATGAATCCAAATTTGAAGCGATGTACAATGAGGAAATGAACTTACTAGCAAACTAAGGAGGAGGTTATCGTGCTAACTACATAAGACCAGGTGGAATCAAGGTTGGAATTGAGATGAAGGCTAGTATGTCCGTGACAGAGATTGGTGTGATCGTAACGCCACTTGGAAGGAAAGAGAGAGGGAGATCAATAGGTATGTGCCTCCCCAGGATCATCAAAATCCCAAGGAATCAGAGGGTGGCCGGATAGAAGATATACTCTCACACATTCTTACCAAAGTTGAGGGATTGGACAAAGTGTTAAAAGAGATGAAGGAGGATGTCTCTACACTTAATCAGAATGTCACCTCTCATTCCGTCTCAATCAAGCAGCTGGAGACCCAAATGGGTCAGATTTCATCGCATTTGAACACAAGACAACAAGGGGGGTTTGCCTAGTGAAATAATGGTAAACCCCAAAAATGAAGCTTGAATAGGTACTTTTGTTGTGTCATGACGTTAACTAAGGTGCTTCTAGGGAGGCAACCCATGTTTTTAATGCTTTAAGTTTCATTTTGAATAACATGTGTTGATTGTGCAGGCTTAAAAGTGGAGAGTGTTTGAGATTGTGCAGGTTTAAAAGTAGAGTGTGTTTGAGATTGTACAGTTTGACGAGCCAAAAAGTCCAGTCGGCGACTCGCCGAAGAGGTTGGCGAACCCGACTTGGACTGCCATTTGACTCACAAAATCTCAGGGTGGAAGTCTGTAAAACTCGGTGAGCCAATTACTGAATCGGTGACTCGCCGAACAGGTCGGCAAACCCATTTTGTCCGCCGTTTGGACCCCCAAATTGACTGGAGGTTCTATAAAACTGGGCGAGGTAAGTGACCACTCAGTGCATCGGCGAGTGGTTAGGCGTGGTCGACTAATACCACCAAATGGGCCGCGAACTGAAAAGTTTTTAAAAGGCCAAACGGTTTAAAATTTCAGAATCTTTCATATTCTCTTATTTCAAACCCCGTACCTCTCACCTGCACTTTAGATCTACCATATTTTCCCATTTTTATTCCTTTTTTTTGTTTGATCTCGTGCTCAAATTTAAATTACTTTGACGTCTAGCTTATCAAATTCTCTAGGCGGCACTCAGGTTTATTTTCTGAACCCTGAATTTTTTATTAGTGGTTGAACTCGAATACTTTCAGTAAATGTTTGTTATTGGGTGTTGTGAAATTGTTATAATCATGTTTGATTTATTAGATTGCCTATTTTGTGTTTCTAAACTGTGCCTAATCTCTTAAAATGATGAATCCCCGTGTTTAATGCGTTAAAATGGAGTCTAAATTGTTGGGTTGAGGTTAATTTGTATTGGGTTTAGTGAGGTGAAGTATGAGTAATCCTGAATTGAGCTAAATGACGTATTTTTCCCAATGATGGAGCCTTTAACGTCATTCTTAAGGGCTCAAATTGCCAATTAGGGCCAAATCGGTAGAAGTCAAAGTACCCCAAAGGCATGGGTCCTATGGGTCTAGAGTCAATTGAGTAATGTGTGTGTTTGATTTTGATTTTGGGAGCTGCGGGATTGATTTTGGGAATTGGGGTTGAAAATTCGCACGTTGGGTAGTTTTGCAAACTGGGTCGAGCTCGCGGAACGGTTTGGCGGTTCGCCAACATCCCCCTTGATAGCCCTTAATTTTGTCATTTGGCTAGTTAGAGTCTGTAACTTTTGACGGGAAACCTGAGCTCGCCAAGTTCACTCGACGACTCGCCGAAATGTTCCGTTGATCGCCCTTTTTGTGGCCCTAACCCCTAAAACACACTGCAATAATTGGCGGGCTATATAAGCTTTCCGAGTGGTGTCGGTGATTCCCCGAAAGGAACTGATCATCGTCGAGATGCCTTATTTCTGGGAATTTTTCAAGCTGGGTCCTTTTGGCGAGCCCGATCTTGCTCGCCTAAGTAACTCGCCGACTGGTTTGGCGAATTTTTCTGCAACTTGAATTTTGCACCTATTCTTGAATGATTTCTAACACTTTTCGTTGTAGTTGTAGATATGGCTAGACCCAAAGTATCAAGATGAGACATGCCGCCCTGCAAATAGGTAAATGATCTCATCATAAGTGAGGATGCAGCAGCATTCAAAGCAAAGGCAGCAAAACTTTCTACTACGGGTGGGAAAGGCAAAGGAAAGGGCAAGGAACCTATAACTGAGTCACCGGAGGTCAGCTCTGACAGTGAGGGAGTCTATGCGACTCACCTCACCACATCTGAAAGCGAGGGGGAATAGCAGGATCCTTAGGTTGTCATCTTTGAGTCTGAGGATAACCAGCTGCTATTGGGTTGGAGGGCTGAAATGCACTCCAAGAGGATGCATGATCCGTCTAGGCACCACAAGTACAAGGTCCTCCTCCCCGTTCTCTCAACAGATTAAAGGCTGAGGGACTGAGGATTATCATTAAGGAGAAGATGTTTTCTATAGATGGTGTGATAGACTAATACTCGGATATATGGCGTACCCTAAAGTCCCACAAGTTTAAGATTTTTACCAAACCCCGGGGTCCCTACATTCCTAATTAGGTCCGGGAGTTCTACATTGCCTATGGAGCTTTAGTGCGACAAGGAAAGAGGAAGGATGCTACCTTCAAGCAAGTAGACCATGTAGTTTTCAGGGGAAGGAAGTTAAAGTGTGATAGTCATGATATAAATGTTGTATTGGAATGAACTAACAACATTTCAGATGACTATCAGAACATGATCAAGAGAACATCTTTGGAGGATATGAAAGGATGGTTGGACATTCTTTTATCTGACGGTACTCCTAGGTGGATTGAGGTCAGAGTGCAAATTGAGAAGAAAGACCTCAATGTGGCAGCAAGGTATTGGTTCTGCTTCATTAGTAGCTCAATTATTTCATCCCAGAATGAGTCTATCCTCCGCCAAACAAAGGTGGCCTGTCTTGGATCCATCATTACAAAGAAGCGCATCAATCTAGGTGCTATTATCAGGCAAGAGATGGCCATGAGAGCTCGGCAGCAGCATACATCTCTCCCTTTTTTTGGTGTTAATCACTGGGTTGTGCCGATGAGCCCCAGTGACACGTGATGAGAAGAAGGATGTGGAAGTGATTACCACCTCCTCTACTGACATCCGACGTATTGAGGGCGAGTATTTTTAGTATATAGCTGAGAAGAAGAGGGTAGCCCCGGTGGATACATCCCTGGCTATTTATATTGAGACACTACCTACAGAGGCAGTATTGTCTACTCCGGCCTCTGGGCCTTCAACTATTTTTAGCTCCACCCCTTCTATGACTGAGTTCTTCTGTTGCCCTGCCTCCTAGGTCTTCTACTAGTACTGTTTCCCGACCTTCACTCACCCAAGCCATGCTTCTAAGGATAGGGAACCTAGCCCAATTTGTTGATGTACGTGCCTTTATGCTAGAGGCTACAGTTCCTAGGATGGTTAAGAGAGTTCTCACCATTGCTTTGACACCTCTTAGAGATGCTATTGATGCCTTCATAAGGTGACGGCCATAAAGGCCACAATTGTAGAGTTGAGAAAAGACGTGGACCAGCTAAAGTACACTGACATGTCGAATGTTTTGGACCGTAGAGATTTCTCACGACCTGGACACAGATATTTCTGCTTATTCTTATGTGCCTCTGGTTACCACCGGAGATGAGGTTAGAGCTGATGATGTCGCTGCAGAGTCCGAGGTTGAGCCTGATGAGGAGTAGCTTGGTGTTCAGGAGGAGTACACCTATGAGGGCCTGACTGAAGTCAAGGAGGCGATGGTACATTCAGTCGTTCTGACTTTGTTGAGGGATACTTCTATGGCTGTCTCTAGTGGATCCAGTGTTGATGTTGCACCAGGCAGTGATGCCCAATCCAATATTGTGACACCGGGCACTGATTCCCTGACAGACGAAGCGGCTGAGTAGACATGATAATTTTTTTTATCTCTCTCTATGTTGTTTTTTATTATCTTTGTTTTAGTTGCATTTGAGGACAACTATTTTTCTTTTGTCAGTGGGGTGAGGTATTTCCATACCCACCTCTGGTGTTTTATTTTGTTTGTCAATATTGGTGAATATTGGGTTTTGTGATCCATAAGTGTGTTATGATATTAATCTTGTGGCTCCTTGCTTTGAATGGAAATGGTTTTGACCTATTCTTAAAAAATTTGTGCAACCTCTATTGTTTGTGATTGTGGCTGTTCTTGTGAAAATTTGAGTATCGCTGATGATTTAAATAGTGTTGTTAATTGAACGAAATAAATGCATGTCTACGATGAGGCCAATGAAGTTGCATAGACAATGTGTGAACTTTTAGCTTCTCGT